GGATTTTAGGGTTTAGTGCCTCTATTTCTAGATTAGTTTTAAGGGCTTTCAAGGCCTTTCTATAATTTCTCATGTACACTCAGTGGCTTTAGTGAGCTCACTGGATGATAAAATCCTAGTGGCATTGTTTCTGGGCTAATCAGAAAATACCATGCACCGCTGATACATGGTTAGCCAGCCCAGAATTGCCTATGGAAGTTTTCCCTCAAAAATTTCAGTGGTTCGATAATTGAAAATATTAATCATTCCCAACCTGCCCAAGATTTATTCCTGGGTGATCCTGCCAAATTACTAATCCTGACTGGTATGGTTTGGCACATTATCTGGCCCAGTTTTGATTTTTCCCAGGGGGCATCCTGAGAGAAATTCAAAAGCATCGCTGAGGACAAGTTAGGATTGGGCTATTGCTTTCGTAGCAGTTTCCTTTCTTCAGTAAACTTACCTTGAGGATGCTCATTTTCCATAGCTGGGGAGCTATCTGAAGAAGTGACCTGGAGAGACAAGAGGAACAAAGATTCAGCCTATCCTGGGCTCCATCCATTTTAGCCGAGCATGATGAGAAGGGCTAATGAACTAACGATGTCATTTAAAGCACTATGAGGCCCACTTAAAATATTACCTCATTTAATCATAACAACCCTGAGGTAAAAACTAATTAGAAAACTGAGGTTCAGGAAATATTAAACAGCCTGCCCAACATCACATGGCTGGTAAGGGGTACAATACGAGTTCGAACACATATCTGTATGGTTCCAAAGCCTATGCCCTTAACCACACTGCCTAATGAAACATTCGACTTAAAAGCTGAGACTAGAAAATCTGAGAATCCACAAGGTTCTCACAGATCTACTTAAAAAAACATGAAAGCCAGAGAGACAATACTGCTTTCCTCCAAATACTAAACCTACTCTTAGACACTAGAATCATAGACATACCCCTTTACCATTAAGAGAGGACCACATCAGGGGCACCTAGGTGGCCTAGTGAGTTAACCGTCCAACTCTTGATTTCAGCTCAGGTCATGATCTCAGGGTCATCAAATCAAGCCCCACATCCAGCTCTATGCTGGGCATAGAACCTGCTTAAGATTCTCTCTCCCCCACCACCCACCCTTCTAAAAAAAGAGAGAGAGAGAGACAGGACCACATCTGGAGGATCCCAGCAGCTGACTGTTACAGAGAGTTAAAGCTTGACTGACTGAGGGGTGGAAGAGGACAATAAATGTTTTGAAACTGGGAACCTGATTCCTCTTACCACCCTTAATGAGTCAAAGGCTCCTACAACCCAGAGGATGCTGGTTTTCCAAGTTGATTTGACCATGACAGTCTGACATCAGAGCACTTTGAATACAGAGAAACCTTCAGAACCATCTCTGGGCTCCCTCAAGTGGGAACATTTGGAAATTTTCTTGTTATCTAGGAACCCAAGAGGGGTCACGATAATTTTAATCCACTGGAATCAACAGTTTTGGCTCCATTTGTTCTGGGTAACATACCAAAACTAACTTAAAGTCGTACTTCACCTACATAGCTATGTAGTAACGTAAAATTGAAGGCCTTGGCTTGAACTTGGTAGGTTGGTGGTAAACAGGGTCAAGTTGGCAGGACAGCTCTAAATTTCCCTCCCCTCATGGGCCAGGGTGGGGGCAGGAGGGAAGGGGAATAATCTCCCTCTTCTGTCTGGACTGCATAAGACTATCAGCTTGGCCCGGCATTTTGGCAAGGCTATCGGAACAACAGCCTCATCACTTTTAAGTGGGAGAGAGGGCTGTTCAGTGGAAACGATACACACATGGGATAACGCAGTCTCACAAAGATCTATACAAAGACACAGAAACAGCTACTTGTGTAGCTGTTTATTATACCCATCATATAATACATACTACATTGTGCTATAGTTTTTTTGTTCATTATCTATCCAAACAGGTTTTAAATTCCTGGAAGCTAGAACTATTTTATATTTCTTTGTATCACCCACACCACTTAGCATGGGGTTCTGCACATAAATCTCAACTGTTTTGCTCTTTAACTCTCAAATTGATAATGATAATGATGCATACGCCTGTGAAGAGAGAGGCCTAGGATTAAGTTATAGAGGAAAAAAGTGATGTACAGCTAGAGATACAGAAACCTACATAAGAGAGTAAGGCATTATTGAATATGACTTTACCTTTCTGCCTGTTTCTCCACACTGGAGAATAATTAACTTCTCTCTGCTTTTAATAACATAGGAAACCTGGGAAAGTACCACTATAACACGAGTACAAAATATTATGGAGACACAGGCTAGATCTGACACATGGACTCACAGTTTCTTCTGAACTTCTGATCCACATTAAAAAAAAAAAAATTATTTATTTATTTTAGAGAGAGAACACGCACATGCTGGGGGGAGAGGGAGAGAAAAACTCAAGCAGACTTGGCAGTGAGCACAGAGCCTGATATGGGGCTCAATCTTATGACCCCAAGATCATGACCTGAGTTGAAATCAAGAGTCAGATGCTTAACCGACTGTGCCACCCAGTTACCCCCAATCCACATTTCTGATTGTTTGCTGGAATGCCACAGATATCACAAAAACTCCTCAAACACTTCAATACAAAACAGCATCTGTCCTTTCATCCTATTATTCTTACTGGGGTTCCCATCTCTGTTTTTTCGCATTGCTCTCCTCTGAGTGCCTAGAACTGTAGTATTGATTCCTCCAAGAATGAGCTATGCCAATACGTCTGCTTGGACTTGCAGGGCAGGGCATGACCTAAACTTGTCCTTAATGTCTATCAACTAAACTGATATGTTAGAAATGTCTCAAATCCATTTCTCTCCTTTCCACTTTCAGTTTCAACTTAGGCTTTTACCTCTCACTTCTGCAACATTCTCTAAACTGGTCTCCCTGTCCGAAATCTATCTCCTTTTTATCCTTCATGCTGCCTCCAAGTTCTCTCATTAAGCATCTCAGGTTTGTTAAGGGACTTTTATCTCCAGCACCTAGGAGGTCACTACTTTCTGAAGTGGCTCCATCCATCTGCAGAAGCTGCTAAGAACATTCCTAAAGCACACTCCCTGCCTTGGTCACAGAGCATCCATGGCTCCCCTTATTACAAAACAAAGTTCAAACTTAGTGTGGCATGCTATACCTTCAACTTGACCTCAGCCTACTTTTCCAATCTTTTCTCCCACTGCAAGCAAAATCCAAAGCTTGAGCAACATGAAGCCACTGGCTCACCCCCAATTCATCTTTACATACCCCAATTTCTATGCCTGTGCTCACACTGTTCTCTCAACCTGCAATGCCCTCTCCTACGTCCATAATAATTTCTCCCTCCTCTATGTTTCCACAGTCCTTTGTTGGCATCTTGATGATAGCATTCATTACAGTCTACCTTCGATAACAGCTGTCATTGGTTTGCCCTCACCCCCACTCCAGGCAGGCTGAGCATTTTCAAAGCAAGGGTTTTCTTTTCTTCTTTTTAAGACAATTTCTATCCCAAGAACCTAATCAATACAAAAAGTGTGAGGACTAAATTAGAAAAGCTATGTAAAAATGTTCTGTAAACCATACTACGTTGACAAGTAAGTAAAATAAAAATTGATGTTATTTTGCATTTAATGGACTCAGACCTTTTATTAGTCTTTATTGTTATTATTTTTATTATTTTTAGTGTAAACTCTATGCATAACATGGAGCTAGCACTCATGACCCTGAGATCAAGAGTCACATGCTCTCCTGACTTGAGCCAGCCAGGTGTCCCAGACATTTTATTTTTGTTCAAAATTTTCTTAGTCTGTAAGAGTTGACTCCCTTGCCTGGGTGCCCAACTGCAAATCACTTCACCACTTCGGTCCGTTTTCTCCTTTAAGACTTGAGGGACAGGACTTCTCTGCAGACAGAGAAAGGGTGTGGTAAAGGAATTACTAAGGGCATAGGACTGACCCAAAGAAAGATGAACCTGCCAGTGACAGATGATAAAAACCAAGACATGGGAAGAGTTACTCTGCCTAAGGGAGGATATATGGCTCCAGAGTATTAGAAAAGGCTCCTGATCGTCACACTGGATGCAAACATGTAAAAGGCTACCTGCAGCATCTCTGGGAGGATGACAAGGACCTGCCACAACTGGTAGTGCCTGCTGGCCAAGAACGATCTGTGCCAACACGCCTGCTTAGAATCGCAGAACAGGGCATAACCTAAACTTGTCCAGGGACACTGCGGCCTCTAACACTGAAAGATTCCCTCCTTCAGGGAAAACCCACTTTTCAGTCTTATTAAGGCAATGTGACTTCGCTAGACACCTCGAAGCGGTATTAAAGTCTTTCTCGTCTCCCTTCTGCCAGGGACTGCAGGGCTCACACTCAAGACAACCGGGGGCCAGGTGCTACCCTGCAAGCGGGAGTCCCTCAGAAGCCCCCTGCCTTATCCAGGAAAGCCGGATCACAGCACAGCCCTGCACTCTCTGGCAAACCTCTGAAGGTTTGAGGTGCTAAGAGGAAAGGAGGTCCGAGATCGCCGATGTAGGCTCGGGTTCCTAACAGAGACCAAAGAGTCACTGCCAGCTCGGGCTTAGAGTAACACCGACGTGAGGCAGGCAACGCGCGGCCCAGTCCTAGATGCGCCCAGCGAAGGAGCAGAGGGGCAGGGTCACGGCATAGGACACCGGCTTCTCGTGCAGCGTCGGTCCCTGCTCAGGCCTCCCTGTCCCCTAACGGGGGTCTCGGGCTCCACAGCGCCCCTCGCCGCCCTCCCGTGCTCCTCACCGTCTCCATTTCAAGAGGCGCTGACTGGGTTCGCTCGCTTTAGGAAGCTGATAGCGGGGCAGGAGCCCCGCCCCACGTCCGGTACCGCGACACCACTTCCGCCTACGTCAGATACACACAAGCCAAGGGCGGAAGGCGGGGACATCACTCTTCCGGCGTGGCCTGGCCTGCGTAACCGCCCTCCCGTGGGTGCTCTCGGACTTTACCGATCCGCTGCCGGCGAGGGTGACTGGACGGAGCCGCTTGTATTTAAAATGTTCTTTTTTTATTTGTCGTTTAAAAACAAACTTGGAAGAAGCAAAATCCAAAACTTGCCCTTTGCCTCTTGCAACATAAATTATGTACAGTTCAGAATGATCGCTGATACAAAACATGCCAAGGACAGGGCGCTGGGAGTGGAGGGAGAGAGGGCGCTTTAAAAAAGGGAATCATTTCATCCGTTGTTACGAAGGACCAATCTTGCTGTACAGGATACACACAACACAAAATAAAGTCTTCACGGGATTCACACTTGTCAGCGATTTATTTTTTAAAAAGGGGGAGGGTCCTGAAGGTGAGGGGAGAAGACTGTAAAAGGGAAAAACTGAAAACTGAATATGTGCAAGTGTAAACCAACCCAAAATACAAACACGGGGGGGTGGGGCGGGAAGAGGAGGGAATTCAGATGCAATTATACAGGCGGGGTACTTTAAAAAAAAACAAAACAAAAAAAACCAACAACCAAAATTCCAACCTTGTAGCTTGGGTCTGAGTTAGTTTATATAAAAATTAAAAACTGTATAAGGTTCTTCACTAAATTCTACAGGACTATCGGATACCTAGCATATGCTTACAAAGTCTGCCCCATTCCCTTTTCCCAATCCCAGGGCCAAGCCCCAACCAGAGCCTGACTCACAGGAGCCAATCTCCCTCTCCCTGTAGCCTAGACCTTTTGCTCTTGGAAAAGGAATATCCAATGGCTTTGGGGGCAGCAGCCCAGTCTCCTCACTGCCTGATTTAATGACAGTGGTTTTTTGTGGGGGTGGGGGATGTTATTCTCTTAAACATTTGCAGCTTGAAACAGTTGAGAAAGCAGCTTTAAAAAAAAAAAAAAAACCTCCCTATCCCCATCAATCCGCAACCCCCCAAATTCAAAAACAAAACAAAACAAAACCTAAAATCACAACAGCGACCTTGCTCCCCCTCCAGCAGGCCCGCCCATCCACCGCCACCAAGCCCACCCCTGCACTCCAGACATTTGATTCTTGAAAATATTAATTACAAAATGCCCTTTGCCCACAGCCCCTAGGAGAGAACTGCATATAAGCTTCATCTTCATCCCCACACTCCCTACTCAAGAGGGGTCTGGGGCCTCACCCACCCCCAACCTACCCCTAAGCCCCAGGAAGAGGTTCAACTGCAGCACAAGCTTGGGCAGAAAGGGGAAGGAAAGGGAGGCAGGGAACCCATCACCCTCTGGCTCCCCCTGGGGCCAGCTCACTTTTGTGCGTTATAACATAGTCCAACTATACAAGGGGGGTGAGAACTGCCCAGCCTCTATACCCCCACCTTACAGCAGTCACAGCCAGGGGGTGGGGAGGAGGGGGTGAGGAAAAGGGCGGTAGGTTGGGTAATGGAGGGGGCCCCCCCACAAGGGGAGCTCCATGTGTCCGCCCCACACCCCCCTACCATTTATAAACTGGTTTTGTAAAAAGAAAATAGATATATTTATATAGAATATATAAAGCACAAAAATTAGTAGTTTTACATTTGCTCTCCCCGGGGGTGGGGGGAGAGGGGAGGGTTCTCACCTCCAGCCGGCTCCCCCATTCCCCACAAGACTATGTACAATCCCATGTATAAATAGATAAATACCCCCCACCCTCCCCGCGCTGACACTAAGCTCCCCACCCCCACATCACCACCCCTTCCCACCAGACCAGCAGCAGTTTGGTGACTGAGGGAAAGTGGGAGCTCCGGGCCACACCCTGCCTCACTGGGTATGGGCATGCCACTCAGGGATAGCCCTCACCCGACCACCCACCCACCCCATCCAGGGGCTGGAGGGCAAATGGGCTCATGATGGGGTTGGGAAAACAGGAGGGCGATATCCTGGTCCTAGGTTTAGCACACCCCTCCTGCCCCCATGTCCAGATGGAGAAGGAAGTCCTAGAGCAACTAGGGGCCAGTTATCCCCAATCTTCATCAGCATTAGCCTCAACCACCATCCCATGCCCATAATTAAAAACAAAGATGGATTTTTTGTTGTTGTTTTTCTTCCTCTTCCTACCCCCCTTCCACCCACTCAGAAGAGGGCAGTGAGGCGGAAGAGAGGGTCGGGGCAGTAGGGGGCTTGGAGAGGGTCTCACATTTCAAAACAGCAAAAAATCCAACACTTAAATGAGGTAGGTGTGGGTGCGGGGTCTCCTTGCCCGGCTTGCCTGGCTTGCCCTCCTGGGCAGCTGGGCGCCTCTTTCCCGTTCATGTTGCATTTGTCAGAGTGGAAAACAAGGAAACACAACCCATAGAGAGACAGAAACACAGAGGAGAAGAGGGAGACAGAGACAGATTGAGGAGGAAGGGGATGGGAGTGAGGGTGGGGACAGGACCCGGCAGGCAGGGCCAGGTGTGGGACCCGGCCTTTGGGATTGTCAAGCTTAGTCAAGTCTCTTTGCAGCCTTGAGTTGGGCCGGAGAGGTCGGTGGGAGAAGCAGGGCTGTGAGGCCCGGCCACACATCCTCCTCCCCCCTCCCTGCTGCCTCCCAGTTGCTTCTGGGTAGTTCCCGGCCCATATCCCCCTCAAACCTGAGATGCCCAATGGCTGCTTCTGTCTGGCCCCTCCTGGAGCTGGGGGCAGAGATGCCAGCCTAGGGGCCGGTGGCGGGGAAGAGGGTTGTCCCTGGTGCCCAGGGTGGGCTTGGCCTAGGGCCCTCTGCCCCAGCCTCCTGCTCCAGGGGCTCCGGTCAGCCGGCAGCCCCAGCCCTGGGTCCTGGCTCTGGCTGCTACCTCTCTTCCCCCTCATCCCTTTCAGGGAAGAGGTTGGTGGTGGGGGGACTCCCCTGCCTGGTAGCCTCTAAGCTTCTTAGTTCATCCATTTTCGACAATTCCAGGCTCCACAGTGGCAGGGGATCTTGTGCTGATCGTCCTCAAAGTCAAACTGATAGTCATAGGTCAGCTGGAAAGAGAAGAGGGTAGAATCGATGCCAGCCCCCCAGAGGGAGTGGGGTTGGGCAGAGATCTGATCTGACGGCAGTGGCCATGGAACTTGGTTCTGGGGAATAGCAGAGAAGAGGGAGCTGCTTAGTCACTCACACAGGACACTTCCTCTCACCTCCTCTCCTTTGGGGATTCGCCGGCTGGAGATGATGATGATTTTATCCTCCTTGTCAAACGTCACAACTTCCGCCACACAGTTAGGGGCACAGGAATGGTTAATGTACCTAAGCAGTGGGCCAGAGTCGGGGATGCCAGGCAACTGAGTCGGGATGCTTCTGGCTCCTTCTTGGCCCACCCTGAGTGTCACCCCCAGGGACCCCTAAAATTCCTCCTGCCTCATTCCTCTCTCACCTGGCAGGGCCTCCAGTCAACGTAGCATCAATCACATGTTCGTTGTTTATTCGGAACATGTAGATGCCTCGATTCTAGAAGGGAAGAAGTTGCAGAAGTGGGAAGAATGTCAGAGAATGGCAGCGGTGCTGGTGGTGGGATCGGGTACCAGACCTGGGCAGTGGGCTTATCTTCAGTTCCTATTCCACCTTTTTCCCATCTCTCACCTCCCCCACCTCCCACAGCTTTCCACCTGCTCTCCTGACCTGACCCCGATTCACCCTCCCTCCTCGCAGAGCAGGGGCCATAAGCCAGCTCATACCTGCTCCTCATAGATTTTCTCCCGCCGGTTGGCCACCTCATTGCGAATGATGGTACCAATATACTCAATGACCATTGTGTGCTTTTCTAGGTCCTTGGCGGCGTAGAGCCCCAGGCCCTGGATACGGGAGCGGGCCAGGTACACATTGTTCTTCCACTCGGTGCGCAGTCGCCGGTACTGTGATGACTTGGAGTGAACAAACTGCTTGCTGTATGGGGTGTTGGTCTCGCCTGTGAAGGTGCTCTGATATGCCTTGGACATGCTGGTGCTGTTCAGGGTGTGAGGCCTGGGAGGTGACACAGGCCATGACAAGACAGCTCTCCCTCAGACCAAGCACATGCCACCCGCCTCTTCCCTGGGATGTGCAACATGCCGGCTAGGGGCATGTGCCGTCTTGGAAATGGGAGCGGAGGCGTGTGGGTCTTGGCTTTGGTGTGATAGCCGCTAGTTGTGAGGACCCGTCCGACACCCTAAGTGGTGCAGAGAGCCCAGGATGGGGGATAGGGTGTTGGGGGGGGCACCAATTCCCCTACACTGAGCCCGTTCTCCCATCTCCCTGCCTTATACCACCCTCCTGCCAAACGTTACACAAGGCCACGCTCCTCTGGGAGGTCTTCCCCAAGCAGCCCAGGCCTGGCATGTAAGCTCATGGTTTGCTCAAACGTCTGAGTTCTACCTCTTGCACGTATTAGAAGCCCTGAAATTGGGGGCTGTGCCTACCACATTGGGCTGGATTTGAATTAAAAGTCGCTCTGAATTCACAGCCGAGAAGGTGGTACCCTTTCCTTTCTTCACACTGTCCCCTTCTCCAACATAATGCTGGGCTCTGTACAGATGGCTCAGTGCAGGGGAATGACTGCTGCCTGGCAGGGATGCCTCTTCACCACCCTAGGGCACCAGCCAAAATCTTGCCCATCCCAGAGCAGTGGTTTTCAAACGTTTTCAATTCTTTTTGATTTAGCAGTTTTTTTCTTTAATAAATGTCATTGGAATTCCAATACATAAACTAGGTGAAAACACAATGCTTCTGGTTGAATCCAATTTGGGGAAGGGGGAGTTGTGCATGGGGAGAGCCAAGTTCTGCTCACTCGGTTTATGTGTTCCAGAACTTTCTGAAACACAGATAGTTTGAAAACCACTGTTGTAGAGCATCAAGGACTAGGGATGACTGGGATAGTAGAGCCTGACGCTCTTTGCTAGCCCAAGGAGCAGCAGAAGGCCTTTGTGAAAACCCTGATACCAAGATTCTGCCTCCCTCTACCCAGGGACCAAAGTCAGGCTACCGTGGTACACAGAAAGAGCAGTGAACCACAGGTTGAGAGGTAAGGTTCTGGTCCCAGCTGTGTGACCTTTGTCTAGTCACTTAACCTTTCTGGGTCTCAGTTTTCTCCGCTGTAAAACGGGGGTCATACCACCTGCCCTACCTACCTCATAAGGTTGTTGTGAGGATCAAATGAGATAATGGATGTGAAAACGCTTTGAAAAAAAAAGTATAAAGTGCTATACAAATGTAAGGTTTTATTATTTATCTACTATATTTCTAATTATTTTTGACACCAACTCAGCCTGGGGAAGGGAAGGTGACCCTAGCCTTACGGGGTGTCTCAGGTTTGGGACAATCACAGGCCCCCTGGAAGCAAAATAAGAGAGGAAGGAGGGAACTGGCTCCCTTATCTACTTGATAGAATTTCACCACTGTCTACCCAGAACCTCCCCAAGTCATTCCCAGGGTGCCCAAGGTAAGTCTGTCCCAGACCCCAGGTCACCCCAGAACACCTGAGCAGGGTGGAGGAGGAAAAAAGGGATAACCTAGGTGATCCCTGCATACCCTCTAGCCAGGAGGCCTAGAGTGAACCCCCAAACCTTCATAACTGGCCGGAGGGCCCCTGCCAACCCCCACTCCCACATCCCACAGCCCCCACCCCACAAGCTCACCGTTTGTAGTGTGTGAGGATCTTAGGCTCCGATCGGGCACAACCAGTGGGATTGATCATGAGTGGCAGCTCCATCAGGGGGTGGCGTCCATAGCGGAATAAATAGTTTTGACAGCTCTCCACTCCGGGCAGCTGTGGACACAGATCATGCTTGCCTTAGCCTGAGCATTTTGGGGGCATGGCCAGTGTCCCCAGTGCCCACATGGCGCCTGGCCCCCTCCTTACTGATTCAGCTATGCGCAGCACGGCATGCACCGTCAGCCCAAAGAGCTCCTCGCCTTTCAGGTACTCAGGGAAGAGCCGCAGCATGTCGGCCTCTTTTCTCATGGCAGCCACGGGCTCGATGATGCGATTCCACACCGCTAAGAAGCAAGGAAAGAGAGTGGCCCTCAGAGGCAACTTCTGTTGACTGACCTCAGCCTAACCTTGATCCGGAGCTATGGTCCTTTTCTATAGCTTGCACACCTCTCTGTGACAAGACTGTGTGGTTCTTTAGGACTCCCCGCTGGCCTCCCAGTCCCACTCTCCCTCAACAAGCCAGAAGGCTTCCTAGCCTGGAGGGGCACCAGAGAGAGCTCTAGGACACAGACACATGACCTTAGGGCCCAGGAGACCCAGCACAGGCCACCATGCCTAACCAAGATCCAGAACACTAGGCCTGCTTTGGAGCTAGGAAGACTTGGGTTCAGGTTCTGGTACCGGCTATGGGCCCTTACGCCAAATACCTAAATCTCTCTAAGGCTCTGGTTCTTTATGTATGCATTGGGCATTATGAAAGTACTCACCTCACAGGGCTGCCAGAAACAAAAGAGCCTAGGTCAGTCACTTACTTCAGTGTATGGTGCACAGCACTTGCTCATTTATTTCTATCATTAACGCTAATCTGAGCAGGGCAAAGCAATCATAAGGCCCTCATGGTTAGGAACAGGGTGAGGGAGCCAGACGATGTGGTCTCAGAATGGTATTCCTTAGTTCCACTGAGGCTAGGAAAAGGAGCTAGAATATGTGAAGCAGACAAGCAGAGTAGCTCCGATCACAAGGGAACGTAAGACAACTCAGAGAAGCTAGAACACTGTCTCTGGGGCTCTTAGAAGACCTCCACCTGCCTGAAGCCATGGGGGAAGATCACTCACAAAGACCCCATGGATCCCTTCCACTTGCACAGGAGCGTTTTGAGGGCCCAGTGCTCACCCTGGGGGGAGGCGTCAGTGAAGACCAGGTCCTCCAGGCCCTGCTCCATGACCTTGATGATGAACTCTGGCCTCCCGTTGTTCTCGCCGATGGAGCAGCGGTAGCAGCAGCGGCGGTTGTTGGTGCGGAGGCTCCAATAGATGCGTGTGGCCTCATAGCCCACGGGGTAGAGGGCCGTGGCGCTGTGGAAGTCGGCCATCTGATGCGGGAGCAGCTGTCCGATGGCGTGGAACACAAGGCCCCCCACACGGAACATGTGCAGCCGCTCTCCCCGCTGGATGATGCTGGCAATCTGCTTCACTTCGTCCCGCTCGATGTAGACCCGCCGGAAGACAGCAAAAGAGCTCAGCTCCTGCTCACAGGGCCCCTTGATCTTGTGCATTGGACACAGCATGGTCTTGTCCTTGAAGAACATGCACTTGGCGCGGATGGCGCAGGCAAAATGGTAGACATTGGGGCAACGCATTCGATTGCAGCTGCTGGTGGCACCAGTGCGCTGGCACAGGGAGCACTTGGTCAGCAGCCCGCGGTGCAGAGCCACCTCCACATTCATCAGCGCCCCACCCTGGGTTTCATAGACCTCCGTGGACCACAGGGCGCAGTTGAGGTGCACCCAGAGGTCCAGGTCCAGGTTCAGGAGGCGGGCGGGCCCATCAGTGGCCCCATCACCCTCCTCGTGACAGAAGCAGCAGCGCCTCATGTCACGAGGCACCTTGTCAGGCCGCAGGGCCGTGCCGAGCTGTTCCATAAACTCTGCCACTTCCCGCTCATCCTCCTGCCGCCCGCTGCCCTTCTGGATGGTCAGTAGTAGCCGCAGCCGCTTCCAGCGCACCCCCTTCCACTTCTTGAGGCGAGGTGGCCGGGAATCCTCTCCTTCTTCCGGGGGCCGGGCTCGGGGCTTGGGTCGGGCCGATTCAGGGGATGAGGCCAGTGGCAGAGGCGACGGGACCGGTGGCTCAGCCAAGGGTTCGGCGGGAAGTTCTACCAGGGGTTCCGCAGGGGGGCTGGCCGGAGAGGGTGCCAAGGGGGATGGGGGCGGGGAGGGCTCTTCAGGAGGTGGGGCAGAGAGCTGTCGCACATCCAGGTTGGAGACATTGCAGGTGTAGCTGTGCTGGGCGGCTGGCTCTGGGGCAGGGCTCTCCTACGGGAGGAGACATGCCCAGTATCATCAGCGCCAGCTCCTTGCGTTGCTCCTCTCACCTAGGGTCCACTCTCCCCAAAGCCCTCCGCCTTCTGTGCCCTAGCCGCACACCCACCCTCTTTTCTCCCCCACACCCACCTGTTTCAGGAGGCTCAAGATGTCCAGCTGGCTTTTGAGGGTATAGCCGGGCAGCACTGCATCAAACTGCTTTAGCCAGTCAGGGCCAGCTTCCGGGCTCTTGCCTCCCAGACCCTTTTCTTTCCCTCCTGCAGAAAGGAAGGGGTCAAAATCTCCCAGCAGCATCCCTCCCTGCAGGTCCTGAGACTTCCTGCCGCACTCACCAGGGCCCTCGGCTTCCCCCTTCTTCGGCTCAGTGCCCGGCCGGGCAGGGCTCTCTGGGAACAGCACCTCATAGGAGTTGGGGATCTTCATGCTCAGCAGCTCTGCCACTGCCACCATCACACCATTCAGGTTCTGCCAGGGCAGAGAAGGGGCCAGGAGGACCGTGTCAGCAGCACGGGGCGTGCACTGCCACCACTCTGGCGGGGACACAACACCCAGAACCCCGCTCCCTGAGTGGCCCGTCAGTCCTGCCCTTCTCCCGTGCTTCCTTCACAGCACCTCTCCCAGACTGCTGAGGTCAGTAATGGGCACTCCATGACAAGGGCCCCATGCCCACCAAGTGTAGGAACAATACACCCTATGTTCACCACTTGGGAGACTCACAATACACATTAGCAAACTAAAGAATCTGAGAAGTCCTGTAGTAAAGAAATTTGTTTTGTGGTTTCAACTGGGATTTCCAATTTTCTTTGACCACAAAACCCTGTCAACATTAAAAAATAACAAAGAGTTCCACCAAATGTAACTGGGGACATGCTGTCTTGCAGCATTCGTCGCATTCTGTGTGCTCCCCAATTGGCTGACTTGCATCTATCACTGGACTGTGAGCTCTCTGACGGCAGGGACCTCTCATGCTTTATTTACCCTAATCCTGCAGCCTTCAGCCCAGGCGTTCACACACAGTAGGTCCTAGTACATAGTTCTGAGCAATTCAATTTATCCACACAAGCTCCAGGGACTGTCTTCTGACCAGGATCCCTTTGGCCTCCAAGGAACCCCAGGACACACCTTGGCCGCAGCAGCAGAGACCGTCAGCATGACAGACACCTCACTTCCTTTGCCCTTTTCCCAAGTTGTGGCAGGCAGCTTTCCAGGGGCCTCCAGGTCCAGGGCCCCATAAGGTTTGGTATCTGGGAAGACTGGAATGTGAGAGGGATCCATGTAAACTCCAGCTGCCTCTCTCTCCCAGCCTCAGACAACCCAGCCCTGCCTGGCCCATGCCCAGAGCAGTCTCTACCTGGGATACTGGCCCGAGGAATGATGGGGATGACAGGGGAGAGAGCCCGGTCTTCCTGCTCCCACCGGCCTGAGCCCAGCTGAGGGAAACGGGGGGCCTCCTCCCCCAAGATGCTTTCAGGGGACGAAGCCGGCACAATGCTATCAGGAGAATCGCTATCCTCATCGCTTTCCATCCTGTGGGCCAAAAGTAGACATTTGTTGGTACAGCCTTGTAGACATTCCCTCCCAAATTTAGAAATTAGTAGATGTCATAGCCTTATGTGAAATCTGCCACTGGCCAAAGGAAAAAAATAGGCAACCTGCCCCCCACCCCCATTCCTTATCCCCATTTCCAGGCCCACCCCCGTACCTGACATCCTCAGTCTGATTGTGAGGGGGTGTAGGCAAGGCGGCCAGCAGGTCTAGACTCTTCACCTCTGAAGCATCTGAAGGGTAGGAGGGGAGAAGAAAAGTCAGGCTGGTAGCCAGAGCTGACGGGACAAACTGCCCCATGTTTCAGGCCTAACTACTGCAAGACCTAGCTTAGCTCTCATAACCGCTGCTGTCTACCCACCCACCTACCTACAACCCTGGGTGGATGAGCTGTATTTATCGAGACTTTCCCATGTGCCAGGCACTGGGTTTTGTTTATCAACTTTAACAACTCCTGCATAAGAATATTCTAACACCTATTTACAGTGAGGAAACTGGGGCCCACACAAGTCGGTCATGTTACTTAGCGGTGCTAATACAGCTAGATGAATACAGGCACCAGAGAATTCAAATCCACAGCTGACTGTAGTTCTATACCCACTAAGGCACTGTAGGCTGTGCCTCGTGAACAAAAGCCTCATCGACACCCTTCCCGCCACCCGCCTCCTCTGTTGCTCGTGCTCTGGAGCCCTGGCTTCCAACGAATCCGCCCTGAAGAGGCCAGGCCCTTCCTTAGATCAGGTACCCTGTCATGTGCACACACAGGGACACACACAATCCTTCCTGCCTCAAACCGACCAACTTGGATCCCAGCCGCCAAATCCTACAGGAGGAGAGGCCCGCTCTGCTCCTGACTTACCCCTCAGCGTCCCTTCAGTATCCCGGGCAGAGGCAGCATCCTTGGGGTGCTCCCCCAGCTCTTCAGATGGGGTGACGCCATTCACCATCTTCTGCTGCACCGATGGGGGTGGGGTGGGGGGCAGCGACGAGGGTGGTGTCGGCGGGTTACTCAGGTTATTCTGGGGGTGGGGTGGGGTGTTGTGTGCAAGATGGCAGAGGGAGAATGACGTAATCTCCTGGCCCCACACGATATCAGCAATTTCCTCATCTTCCACTCCCACCTCCACCTCCCCAAGAACCTCGTCATCCCCAAAAAGTATTGCCGTTTTTCTGACCTTGGTAAGCAGCTGGGAATAGTAGTCGGGGCCAGTGGGCAGTGCCCCACTTCCAAAGGCCCCCCTCAGCTGGCACTGCCCATTGACCGGGCAGCCACTGCCGAAGGGAGCAAAGAGGCTAAAATTGGCGGTGATAGTAGGCTCCGTTAGGGGCAGCAGGGACAGCTCCTAGAAGGGGCAAGATGACAAGGTTGGAAACCCGCAGTGTGTACATCTCTGCCACCGCACAGTTGGGGGCCAGGGTGCCCCCATCCTGGGATGGGACCAGGGGGCTGGCTCCTGGGGGTCACCTGTTTCAGCTGTTTCAGCAAGGCCTCGCTGGCCCTGACCCCGTCCTCCTTCCGCAGCTTCTTTCGGGAGCTCACCAACCTGTCGCTTGCCTTCTGCACCCGCTTGGGCTTTGGTGTCACAGGCTTCCTTGCTATTGTGTCCTAGGCCAGAAAAACCCACAGTGAAGGCTGCGGTCTTCCTCCAAGCCCCCACCTCTTCTGGGTGAACCACATCTGCTCACAGTGCCCTGGGTTGCAGTCCCCACTCTATCTTCTCCAATCTCTCTAGAGCACTCACCTCTTTGTTGCTGGGGGTACCCTGTAGTTTCTGCTCCAGCCCAGCCAGCTTGCTGTCAATGTGCCCGTTGATCTCAGCTCGCAGCCCCTCGGGCCCCCGCCCAGTGCTGAGTTGCACATTCTTTGCGCGTAGAAGCTTCTGCAAGAGCAGATGCCCAGCCTCTGAGCGGGGGCCTGCCAGCAGGAGGTGGTTGCTGGTACCTGGTGCCCCTACTGGCTCCCCGTTGGCCTCCCTCTTCACCGCCTGGGCTCCCAGGGCACATGGCTCCTCCCGAGGCTCCTGCTTGATGCTGAGATGGGGTGGCTCAGTCACTGCCTGCCCATTCACCTGCTCCAGATGCCCAGGTACCAGGCTGCTCTGATCTGGCTTCCGGGCTTCCACTAGGTTGTCTGGGGGGTCCCAAGGTCCCAGCCCCTTGCCAAAGAAGGTATCCGCAAGCTGGGCAGCAGCAGGTGAGACCCTCCCAGGAGGCAGCTCCAAGGATGGACCCTGGGGTTTTGGGGTCCCTGGCTGGGTGGGGGGGAGCTGGGCCTCAGAGGGGAGCTGGGATGGGACCAGAGGGCTGGCTCCGGGGGGCTGTGAGGAAGGTCTCTTTGGCTCTTGGGGGCTGGATGGTGGAGGTGTGGGATGGACAGGGCCGAGGACCGGTCCTGCGGCTAAGGCTCCTTGTGGGGCAGAGAGCCGGGGTGGGCCCTGAGGTCGAAGCCCTGCCCCTAACTCCTGGAGAGGGCCTGTCTGGGATCCAGAGAAGCCCCCAAGTTGAGGCTGGCGACCCAGGAGGCCCTGGAGGGGAGAGGGCTGGGCCCCAGGCTCCTGGTAGGGTGGGGCCTGGCGCACCGCCTGACTCTGCTGCAGCTGCCGCTGCACGAGGAGCGCCTGTAGCTGCTGCTGCTGCTGCGGGCTCAAGTGCCGCAGCTGGGGGTTTTTGGCCAGGACCCCTTGGAGCTGCGCTCGAAGCTGCCCCATTGTTGGCATAACTCCAGGCCCGGGCAGGCCCGGCCCCAGCGTGAGGCCAGATCCTGCTTTGGCAGGCTGTGGCCCTGCGTTATTTTGCACGGGCCGCTCTAGTCCAAGGGGCTGTTGGGACCCCAGAAGGTTCTGGGTCATGGTCCCAGGCTGCTCCCCTAAAGGAACAGAGGACTGGGCCAGCAGATGGGGCATGGATGAGGCCTCCGAGGATGAGCCGCTGCCCGCTGGCCCGTGGCTTCCCACACCTGCTGAATGGAGCAAGTTAACTTGCTGCTGCTGTGGACCCGGGAGCCTCAGGGGTGGCTGCAACTGTGCAGGGCCAGGCTGTGGCTGGGCCTGCGGCGGGATAAGCAGGAGCTGTGAGTCCCCGGACAGCGAGGGCTTCACCTCCCCAGGTTCGGTGGCTGCCGACTCGGGAACAGCCCCTAGGGCTAGCGGTGCCCCCGGATGTGTGGACGGCCCCTCCGCGGCCTCTGGAGGAACAGCCGTGTCTACCATGCTCTGCTCCTTGCCCGTCAGGACGGCAGCGCCCAGGGCTCCGGGGCTAGAAAAGTGTTGTGCAGGCTTGGCGGGCATGCCGGGGCCGAGGGGCACCTGCTGCTGCGGCGGCGGTGGCTGCGGCGAAGACAGTAAAGTTCGACTCTGGTTCAAGAGGCCCATCTGCTGCTGTTGCTGCTGCTGCTGCTGAAATTGTTGGAGCTGCTGCTGCTGCTGTTGGAGCTGCTGCTGCTGCTGTTGGAGCTGCTGCTGCTGCTGTTGGAGCTGCTGCTGTTGAAGCTGCTGCTGTTGGTGCTGCTGTTGGAGCTGCTGTTGTTGGTGCTGCTGCTGTTGGAGCTG